GTTGCCTGGGTTGAAGGAAAGTTCTTCCCTCCAGTCATATTGTATGTGACTTTCTTGTCTTGAGGATCTTGGACCATGCTGGTAGTATAAATTCAAATTCTGTATCTGTGCTGGAGCGTGCTTGGGATTACAAATTTTCATTTTGTAGATGAATTTGTGGTTGCACTCTTCCAGCCTCAGTGCTAAGCCCATGACAAGTCTCTTTATCTTCTTGTACCAGTGTACTTTTTTTTTATAGACCATTTTATCACTGATGGGGTAGACTGTCAATCTCTGACTTTGTTCCAGGTAAACGTACATGTGGGTGGGTGGGTGGGGAGGAGAGTGTGTATGTGTGTCTCAACTCCATTCTCATCTCTTAGTTGCCTTTTCTTTTCTATCCAACTCTTATCAAAATTCAAGCCCCCATTTCTCAATTTCTTTTGTAGTACAAAGATTTTTACATTGTTTTGTCAGCCATTTGCTGGAAATAGAAATCTTCCTCATATTTTTTTCGTGTGTGTAGTGTTGCGTGCACTGACTATTTGGTTGCCATTCTCCCTGTACCTTTGTCGTTAATTGGGTATTTATTTAACGTTATCCTGAGAATGACTGCTTTGTTCAGTCATTCACTTGTTCTTTTAACAGATAGTTAAGTAGGTAACTGAGATCAAGTATTGTGTTTATGTGCCTGAATGCAAAGATGAAAAATAATAGTTTTTCTGTCATGTTTTGTTTTACATATGGGTCTTTAACATTGGGGAACTCAAAATTCATTAAGGAGAGACATAAATAAATCAGTGCAAAAATATAGCAGCAGAATTTGGATGAAAGAGCAGTGGAAGTGCAAAGGCAGGAGACTAATGACCTCTCTCTGGGAGGCAGTGGAAACTCTTAACATCCGGGATAGACATCAGAACCCCTTTCTTTTTAATTTGTCTTGCAATAACAAACTTCTTGGTTTTTTTGAGGAAGATTAGCCCTGAGCTAACATCTGCTGCCAATCCTCCTCTATTTGCTGAGGAAGACTGGCCCTGAGCTAATGTCCATGCCCATCTTCCTCTACTTTATATGTGGGACGCCTACCACAGCATGGCTTGCCAAGCTGTGCCATGTCCGCACCCGGGATCTGAACCAGTGAACCCTGGGCCGCCGAAGAGGAATGTGTGAACTTAACAGCTGCACCACCGTGCCAGCCCCTGACTTGAACTTTTTAAGAGTGGCAAAGAACAAAGATAATCTTGCTTTAGTGCTATACCGGAAATGATTTTAAGAAGCAATTACATTTTTTTTATTAAACTTTTGTCAGAATAGCTCAATATCAATTATGTTGAAAACAAAATGTTCTTTGTTATCATCAGCATTTCGATGGCTGTAGTTATTGAAACAGAGCACTGGGGAATTTGGGACTAATTTAATTTTCTTAGATTAAAAAAATAAAGAAGGCACAGTATAAGTTTAGCTGTCACACATGCTGAAAATGAGCTTGCCTTAGTGCTGTCATATACAGGCCATTTAAATCTTTGGGATTTCCATGAATATCATATAAAATGTCTTTAATATTTATTTAAGGGGCTGGCCTGGTGGTGCAGTGGTTAAATTCATGCACTCTGTTTCGGTGGTCTGGGGTTCGTGGGTTCAGATCCTGGGTGTGGACCTATACACCACTCATCAAGCTGTGCTGTGGTGATGGCCCACATACAAAATAGAGGAAGATTGGCACAGATGTTAGCTCAGAGACAACCTTCCTCAAGCAAAAAGAGGAAGATGGGCAACAGATGTTAGTTCAGGGCCGATCTTCCTCACCAAAAAAAAGAAAAAAATCAGAAAAACATTTAAAAATAAATTTTAAAGGAAAGAAAATTGTAATAACTTTAAAATACTGAATTGCAATTATGGTTTTTAGTTTTACCTATTTCTTTTTTTTTTCTCATGAAACTTACAAGAATGTTATAACAAGAGGGTTTAGAGTCTATTGTTGAACCTGTCACTTCTATTTTCATGTTTCTTATAATTGTCCATTTGAATTTTTCAGTGTGGTTATATACAAAGGTATTAAAGTTGCTTCTGGTATTCACTGTTGTAAATAGTGCTTGATTGAATAGCTTTATTTATATAGGTTTTTCTTTTTCTCCAGAGTTTTAATATGATGAACTACTGAGATTTTAAGCCAGAATGTATGAACACACCAATTCTTTATTGTCTTGATGTTTCCAAAGAAATTGCACTAATTAATTGCATTTCACTACCATTTTCCTTATAGTTACTTTTCTAGAGTATATTTTATAAAGCTATCAAATGTCTTTAGCATAATATTCCTAATGATGATAGTATAAATTATTTTAGAAAAGAGTATGTAACTCGTACTAGGAAGTGAGATTAGTTAGTGAGAAGTTCTCAGTTTAACCCTTGTCCATTTATTTTAAAGCATTGATTTCTTGGTGGGAATCTTGTTGAGACAGTGGGGAGTGAGGAAGCTGAATGATTGCGCCTGCATTTAATAATCTAGTTCTGTGACCTCAAGCACAGAGCTAAATCTACACATTTCAGATTTCCTGTTGTGGGATTATATTGCTTGGAAAGAAGCAATATCCCTGTTTTGAGATTTAAACCCAAATGAATCAGGTTAACTGTCATTAGAAATTTCAGAAGAGAATAAGTAGGAAATAATGAATTTAATCAAGAAAAGAGCTGCTGTGATGTTGGTGGTCACTAGGAATGTGCTGTCCCTAGTGCCAGGAGAAGGAAATAATATTAAAGCATATATTTGTCTTGTTTAATTTGATCTTCTCTGTGTGCAAAACATGGAAGGGTCTTAAGGCACATACTAAAAATTAAACCCATGTCTCTTTTAAACTTGCTGTGTTTTTATGCTATCATTTGAGGCTTTGTCGTACTTCAACAGTATTAAATACTATTGATATGGAATTATAAGATTTTCTTTAAGGTATGCTGTGCTGTGCTTTTTTTTCTTATTACTTGTAATGGATTTTAATATGACCTTAATTTTCGTGGAATATTTTAATGACATTTTAATTAAAAGCAGGCAGAAAAAACTTGATTCTTGACTGTTATAGTTTAAAAATATATTAATGTTTATTCCTGGTCTGTATTACCTCTTTTTCAGTAACTAATAGTAATAAAATTTATATATTTGATATGTAAAGTTGATTAAGGGTACCTATCCTTTAACAATTTAATTAAAATCTTTTTCTTAACACTAGGGGGCACTCTTGATTTATGGATTCATATCTGAATTAATCTTTATGCATGGAATGTGGAATGAAATGAAGTTACTTCAAAACATTTCATTGCAAACTGAGTGCACCTTTAGAGAGAATTTGGATTACCAAACTCATTTTGAATAGCAGTGTAAATATAAGTTGATCTTTAATAGTGTTGTAAGGATAAGCTTATAAAATGAGATACTGTAGATTGGAGGAAATTTAAGTATTTCTGTGCTCCATTCATTTTCACATTGATTTTCTAAATGGTTTTAAAAATTCATTATTTCTGATATATTTCTCATTTAAAAAATTCTAGGATAGTGTTTGCTCTTAGCAGATACTTAGGATATATCTGAAGAAATGTGGGTAAAGTTAAGATGTGACTGAAGGCTGCTGTCATTAGTAATAATCTTTAAGCATTTGAAACCAGGAATGTTTTGCTACATCTAGGAAACAGATTTTAGGCATTCTCACTCATTGTGTTTGCGGTTAGGATTTTGGTGATGCCCACCAACATGTATTTTGCCAGAGGTGTGTTTCTAAGGTTTTTGTCTTCTTTAATTAGAAGACTCCATTGAATTTAAGCTTTGTGTGGATTAAGTAGATAATAAAATCTGCATCATCAGAATAGCACGCTTACCATGCATCAGCACTGTGTTAGCTGCTTTGCATGTATTAATTCATTTTTCCTCACACAACTCTATGAACTAGGTGCTTGTTGTTATCTCTGTTTCATAGGTAAGGAAACTGAGCACAGAAAAGTTAAACAGTTTACTGGGTTCACACTTAGGCAGTCTTGTCCTAGAGCCTGCTTCAAAATCGCCGTCCTGTATTGCTTCTCCAGAGAGAGGAAACAGCAGCAGGAGAATTATTATTGATATTTCAAACTCAGTTTTTGAAGTGGCTATAGTTTGAAATATGTAATTATGGACACATCATTTCTATTATGAAAAATATCATAGAAATTTAAAGTTGGAAAGGGGCCTTGAAGTCCATTTACTCTTGTCATTTTACGGAGAGGGAAATTCCGTTCTAGACAGGTGAAGTTCCCAATGTGGTGCTATGCGGCAAGTTACTTGTGGAAAGGGGTTAGAACCTCAAGCAGATACTCTGACGTCCAGTAAAGTGGAAAGAAACATAGTGTTGTGGAGAGAATATTTGGCTGGAATGGCTTGAATTTTGTTCTTGGCTCCTCATTTACTAGCCTGGGTCCTCAGAGGCTCTGTTTCTTCGTGTTATATGAGTATATCTTCCTTAATTAGTCTTATTCATAGCAGTTGTGAAAATCAGTGAGATAATGGATTGACGATATTCAATAAACTTTAAAACCCTATGCGGATAAATGTCATTTATCACGGTATTTTTATGACATGTTCCATAATATTTTAATTTTGATTATTTGTGATATCTTTATAAACTAGATCATTAGCAGTGGTAAACTTACTCAGTATTGTTGATTTAGGGATATCATTTAGATCTCAAAAAATGTATTGTGTTATGCCGTGTTACTCTGCCACGTTTTTGAATTTTTCTCACAATGTGATAAATTATGCTTTTGCTTTGCTGATGAAGAACATAACAGCAACATGTATTGAACACTGTCCATGGTGTTTCTGATCATTTGAAAATAGCATACAGGATTGTCCTCAAACTGGATTTAGTGACTTAACTGAAATAAAATAGAGTTCAGTAAAGTTGAGGTATTGTATTCCTTGGCATGGTGATAGGCATGGATTTATTTTCTTAAACTTACAATATGACACACATTTAAAATATTCTGCCTGTTTTTTTCAGGAATAATAATGTATTTGCGGCCTTGGACGTGAACCAATCAGTCTTCTGTTGCTGATAACCTAGCGTCAGAGACTGATGTTGTGGGAAGCATGGACCTAATGAACGGGCAGGCAAGCAATGTTAATATTGCTGCTACTGCGTCTGAGGTAAGGCATTTAACAAGTTTAGTTGTGAGGTTTCTTAGCTGGCATTCTGATTTTTCAAGCATTATGGTTGGTCACAGATTTAAATCAGAACTTGAGAAAAAGGGCTACAAATTTCTTAGTTTTTTAAAAGACTGTTTTAATTGTGCCATTCGCATGTTCACTGTACATCCTAGAAAGTTAATTCTATTCTCAGAGGGATGGCTTTCAGTTTTTCACTGTTGAGTATGATGTTGGCTGTGGGTTTGCCATATATGGCCTTTATTATGTTGAGGTCCTTTCTTTCTATACCCATTTTATTGAGAGTTTTTATCATAAATGGATGTTGGATCTTGTCAGATGCTTTCTCTGCATCTATCAAGATGATCATGTGGTTTTTATTCCTCATTTTGTTAATGAGATGTATCACATTGATTGATTTGCGGATGTCGAACCATCTCTGCGGATGTTGAACCATCAAGTGGGGTATAAATCCCACTTCATCATGGTGTATGATCCTTTTAATGTATTGCTGTATTCGGCTTGCCAATGTTTTGTTGAGGATTTTTGCATCTATGTTCATCAGCAATATTGGCCTGTAAATTTTCCTCCTTTGTGTTGTCTTTGGCTTTGGATCGAGGTGATGTTGACCTTGTAGAATGCGTTAGGAAGTATTCTGTCTTCTTCAGTTTTAGGGAATAATTTGAGAAGGGTAAGTATTAAATCTTCAAATGTTTGGTAGATTCTCCAGAGAAGCCATTTGGTCCTGGAGTTTTATTTTTGGGGAGATTTTGATTATTGTTTCAATCCCTTTGCTTTTCATCAGTCTATTCAGATTCTCTCTTTCTTCTTGCTTCAGTTTTGGGAGGTTGTATGAGTCTAAGAATTTATCTGTTTCTTCTAGGTTGCCCGATTTGTTGGCATATAGTTTTTCATAGTATTCTCTTATAATCCTTTGTATTTCTATGGTATCTGTTGTAGTTTCTCCCCTTTCATTTATGATTTTATTTGAACCTTCTTTTTTTCTTAGTGAGTCTGGCTAATGGTTTGTCAGTTTTATCTATCTTCTTAAAGAACAGCTCTTAGTTTCATTGATCCTACTTTTTTTTTTGGTTTCTATTTCATTTATTTCTGCTCTAATTTTTATTATTTCCCTCCTTCTGTTGACTTTGGGCTTTGTTCTTCTTTTTCTAGTTGTGTTAGGTATAGTTTAAGATTACTTACTTGAGTTTTTTCTTGTTTGTTAAGGTGGGCCTGTATTGCTTTGAATGTCCCTCTTAGTATTGCTTTTGCTGCAACCTGTATGAGTTGGTATGATGTATTTTCATTTTCACTTGTCTCCAGATATTTTTGATTTCTCCTTTAATTTCTTCATTGATCCATTAGTTGTTCAGTAGCATGTTGTTTAGTCTCCACATATTTGTGACTTTGCCTGCTTTTTTCTTGTAGTTGATTTCTAGTTTCATAGCATTGTGCTCAGAAAAGATGCTTGATATGATTTCAATCTTCTTAAATTTATTGACGCTTGCCTTGCTTCCCAACATATGATCTGTCTTTGAGAATGTTCCATGTGCACTTGAGAAGAATGTGTATTCTGCTGTTTTTGAATGGATGGAGTATTCTGTATATATCTATTAAGTCCATTTCATCTAGTTTTTCATTTAATTTCACTATTTCCTTGTTGACCTTCTGTCTGGGTGATCTGTCCATTGATGTAACTGAGATGTTGAGGTCCCCTACTATTATTGTGTTGCTGTTAATTTCTCCCTTTAGGTCTGTTAGTAGTTGCTTTATGCACTTTGGTGCTCCTGTGTTGGGTGCATAGATATTTATAAGTGTCATGTCCTCTTGATGGAATGTCCCTTTTATCATTATATACTGCCCCTCTTTGTCTCTCATTGCCTTTTTTATCTTGACGTCTACTTTGTCTGATATAAGTATGGAAACACCTGCTTTGTTTTGTTTGTCATTTGCTTGAAGTATCATCTTCCATCCCTTCACTCTGAGCCTAGGACTTGTCTTAGGTCTTGTTTAAGCCTGGGACTTGTCTTTTAATTCATCCAGCCACTCTGTGTCTTTTGATTGGAGTATTCAATCCATTTGCATTTAGAGTGGTTATTGATATATGAAGGCTTAGTACTGCCATTTTATCGCTTGTTTTTCAATTGTTCTGTATTTCCCTTGTTTCTCATCCCGTGTATTTCCGACTGCCACTTCAGTTTGGTGATTCTCTATGGTGGTTTTCTCAGTTTTCTCTTTATTTATCATTTGTATCTCTGTTCTGATTTTTTGTTTAGTGGTTACCATGAGGTTTGTATAAAAGATCTTGTGGATGAGATTGTCCATTTTCTGATAGCCTCTTATTTCCATAGTCTAAGCAGGTTCCATCCCTGTCCTCTTCCCCTTCCAAGTTATTGTTGTGACAACTTGTTCTGTTTTGTGTTGTGAGTTTGTGATTAAAGTGAAGTGATTATAGTTACTTTTGATGCTTTCCTTTCCTTTATCTTTATCTTAGAATTTTTCTTATAATTTTTCGCTAATCTGTTCTGATAGAGAACTATAATTTTCTGATTTTGTCTGCCTATTTATCTCCTTGCTCAAGGATTTGTAAACTTTTTTTTTTGTTTGTTCAGGTATGAGGGCCTTGATCATTTCTTGTAGAGGGGGTCTTGTGACAATGAGCTCTCTCAGCTTTTATTTATCTGGGAAAGTTTTTATTTGTACATCATATCTGAAGGATAATTTCACTGGATAGAGTATTCTTGGCTGAAAGTTTTTGTCTTAGTATTTTTAATATATCCTTCCACTCTCTCCCAGCCTGTAAGGTTTTTGCTGAGAAATCCACTAACAGCCTGATAGGGGTTCCTTTGTAGGTTATATTCTTCTGCCTTGCTGCCCTTAATATTTTTTCTTTGTTGTTCACTTTTGCCAGTTTTACTAATATATGCCTTGGAGAAGGTCTTTTTACATTGATGTAATTGGGAGTTCTGTTAGCTTCACTTACATGTAATTCTAGCTCCTTCCTGAGGTTTGGGAAGTTCTCAGCTATTATTTCTTTGAACAAGCTCTCTGCTCCTTTCTCCCTCACTTCTCCCATTGGAATTCCTATAAATCTTTATGTTACATTTCCTAACTAAGTCAGATATTTCTCGGAGAATTTGTTTCTTTTTAGTCTTAGTTCTCTCTCCTCTTCCATCTGAAGCATTTGTGTATTTCTGTGCTCTTAGTTACTAATTCTGTCCTCCATAGTATCAGCTCTGTTTTTTAAGGGTTCCAGATTTCATTTTATTTCATTCATTGTGTTCTTCATCTCCAACATTTCTGATTGGCTTTTTTTTAATAGTTTCAATCTCTTTTTTGAGGAATTCCCTCTGGTCATTAATTTTATTCCTATGTTCATTGAACTGTCTTTCTTAGTTTTCTTGTAAGTCCTTGAATTTCTTTATGATGACTACTTTGAATTCTCTGTCATTTAGATTGTAAATTTCTGTGCCTTCAGGATTTGTTTCTGGGTACTGGTCACTTTCCTTCTGGTCTGGAGTATTAGTGTATTTCTTCATGCAATTTGATGGGGTGGACTTTTGCTGTCACGTAGTGGTAGTATTGCACATTTCACCTCCCACCACTAGGGGGGACAGGAGCTTTGTTTTCTGAGCCCACCATGACCCCTGTCAGTTCTGCCCATCCACTGCTGTGCCAATAGGGCCAATAGGGCTCTCCGCGTCTTGCCACTGCTGCTTTACACACATAGGTGCAGGTGCTCTGGCAGCTACCCCCTGACCTGGCTGTCTGGCCGAGCTGCTGTGCCTGGTGGGGTTGGGTGGGGTGACCTTCTTTCCTGCCCCTGCTCTGCACTCTCTGGCTACCTGCCTGGGCTGCTCAGCTTGGTGGGTGCACCCCTACAGTGGCTTAGCTGCCTTGGTGTGGAGTGTTCCTGCAGGCTAGGAGGCAACTCTGAGAGTGAAAGCATTCCTATGAAAGGCTGCCTTTTCCCCCTTCTCCTCTAGAGTCGCACAGCGGTCGCTGCATGAGGTCCCATGCTGTAGATCACTGCCGTTGTGGAGGGAGAGGGAGTCACTTCCCTCTGTCCACTGTGTCCCAGGGTGTCCAGCACCCCCACCTTCAGACATATGGCTGCATGGGTCTCCCACATGTCTGTTGTATGGATGTCGTCTGTCAGTTTATGAATGACCTTTTCATTGTATCTTAGGGGGGAGAGTCTAAGGGAAGAGCTCACTCCACCATGATGCTGATGTCACTTGTGGAAAGAGTTAATCCCTATCCACTTAAGATACTTGACAAATAATGATTACTTAAAACCCTTTCTTGGGTTTAGTCTTATACAGAATTTCTTTTTAGGGTATTTTTACATTAGATGAACCTTGAGGGCAATGGTACAAGTGAGGCGAAGAAAGATTCTTTTATTTGGAATCACATAATTTTGGACATTGTCTAGATCCCTTGATTCCATGCTTATTGAAGGAGATCAAAGGACCATTAGGCTGGACTGCTCTAGTGATGTAGGTTAGAGTGTTAAAATGGAGACAAAGACTGAACTAGAAGCTCATCTCTCTAGTTAGTGAATTGTGATTTTATTTTTGCCTCACTTCTTTTTCTTTTTTTATTTGTCTGTAAATCTAGGGTACTTGCCTGCTTTCCTTATAACTTTAGCATCTAGCTCCTATATATTTCTCTGTTATTTTTTTCTTACTGTATAGGATGGGAATAATGTTTATGACTCTTTAACATCTTGGCCCCAAAGTTCCTTGGCCTCAAACCTCAACTCCGTTTTGCCCCAGCCAGTTACTTAGGCCTTGCTATCATTGAAAATATTCTAAGTCTATGATTTCGGTTATTTTTGTTATGCAGATGATTTCTGTATTTTCATCTCCAGCTCTGGCTTCCTTCATAAATTTTATTAAGCATTTCTGATGGACCAGACATTTTACTTAGAATATGAACAAGTCAAGTTACTTATTACTATTCTACTTCACAACCTGTAAAGAAGATAGCCCAGGGGCCGGCCCAGTGGCACAGCAGTTAAGTTCGCATGTTCTGCTTTGGTGGCCCAGGGTTCACCAATTTGGATCCCGGGTGCAGACATGGCACCGCTTGGCAAGCCATGCTGTGGTAGGCATCCCTCATATAAAATAGAGGAAGATGGGCACAGATGTGAGCTCAGAACCAGTCTTCCTCAGCAAAAAGAGGAGGATTGGCAGATGTTAGCTCAGGGCTAATCTTCCTCAAAAAAAAAAAAGAAGAAAATAGCCCCACCTTTTTCTCTGACTTCTCTTAATAGCATCACCATTTCCCTAGCTATCTAAGTTTAAATCTTTAGATTTGTCGTTAACTTGCTTCCCCTTTGCCCAATGTAACCATTTTCTCATCACAACAGGAAGAGTCCACTAGGAAAACAGAAGTTACAGTCCTCTGTAATGTAATCACGGAAGTGACGTCCCATCATCTTTACTCTATTCTGTTGGTTAGAAACAGGTTGCAGTTCCTTCCCGTGCTGAATTGAAGAGAATTACACAAAGGCGTGACTACCGAGAGAGAGATGCTTGGCAGCCATCGTAGAGCCTGTCCACCACACCTTGTCTCTAGGATCTAGTCCTTTTCCTCCTTATTTCTACTAGTACCCTCTTTATTTGGTCATTTATTCTTGCCTAGAGTATTGCAGTGGCCTTTAGTTTGATCTTGTGCTTCTATTCTCTGCTATTTCTGGTCCATTTGACTCTGATTCAATTTTAGTATTTTTAAAATACAGCTGTTAAACTTGATAGTATCCCCAAACTGTCCGTGGTTCCTCATTGCCTACTAATTAAATAGAAGACACTCAGCCTTGCATTCAAGACTTTTCTCAAAATGTCCCTAACTTTCCTTTCTAATCGATTTAACTGCTACTAATCCTCTACTTGAAATTTACATTCTAGTGAAAGAATCCTCCTTCTTGCTGATGTTTGTATAAACCCTGAGCTTTTCCTGCTTCTGTTAGACCTTTGCCCGTGTCAGTTTTTCTACCTGCAGTTTCTCTCATTCCATGTGCCCCTGCCTGTCACTGCACAGAAAAGACACTTTGTCTGTCTTTCAAAACCTATTTCAAATGCTATACTTATCATAAAGTCTTTTCCTGATTCCCTAAACACATAGAAATTTTCTTGTTTTTGAAATTATCACTTTAAAAAAAAACGCTTTTTAATAATTTTTTCCATTTATTTAAACATAGGTTTTCTTCCTCCTTGAGGCAGGGATTATATGATGTTTCTATATATGTTTGTATTATATTTATGTTTACTTGGTATATTTATAACCATATATCTTGAATATATGTGTGTGTATGTGTTGTATAGTATATTAATAACTATATATCTTGAATCATTTAGTCTGGTATTACAGGAAACAGTACACAATTATTTGTTAAAAATAGGTCATTTCACTTGTATAAAAAATTCTGTTGACTTTCCTAAAAGTGAATGAATTACCTCAGGCCTCAGAGTAGAATAACTTAGTATGTGAGAAGAAGGGGGAAGATCTGCCTTTGAAATTGTCCTACTGCTGTGGCAAGAAAATAAGGTTAAAAATATGTATTTTCTGCCTTCTCTTAAAATGTAGATCTATTAACGTATAAAAATGTAAATTACGTTAAAGGCCTATTTACCTCAGTTCCTATTACCAGTATGTCATGTCTGGCTTTCAGCAAATTGTAAGCCATGCTAAAAAATAAGAAAAAACATAGTCTGAAGAGACAAAACAAGCAACAGAACCAGACTCAGATATGGCAGAGATTTTGGAGTTATCAGACTTGAAATGAAAATAACCATGAGTAATAATGCTAAGGGCTCTAATAGAAAAAATGGACAGCATGCAAGAACAGATGGACAATGTAAGTAGGAATATTGAAGCTCTAAGAATCAAAGGGAAATGCTAGAAATCAAAAACATTGTGACAAAAATGACGAATGACTTTGGTTGGCTTACAAGTAGACTGGTGAGCAGTAGATAGCTGAAGGAAGAGTCTGTGAGCCTGAAGGTATGTCAGTGGAAACTTCCCCCACTGAAAGGCAAAGAGAAAGTAGAATAAAAAATGGGGCAAAATATCCAAGAATTGTGGGACAATGACAGAAGGTGTAACACACACGTAATGGAACTACCAGAAGAAGAAAAAGGGAGTAGAAGAAATATTTGAAGTCATAATGGTTGAGATTGTTCCACAATTAATGATAAATCCCTTCCTTTGTAATGATTTTGCTATTTAGCTGCAGCTAAAAGGAGGGAAAAGGTAAAAATGAGGAATAGTGACAAGTGCTCAAAACTGATATATAACAGCTGGTAGGTTGACATATATGTTATACCTTGGTAACTGAAACTTTGGTTAATTTTTTGTGCCGTTAACTGTAGCCTGATATCCTGCTGCCATTTAATAGAGCATGATCCAAATGTTCTTACAGTCATTATGCTCTGATGTCAGCCAACTGATGCAGAATACGTTTTTATCTCATGGTGTAGATGAACTGGAAATTGAACAGACATAAGATTTTATTTTCAGAGCCAAAAGCCACCTTTTGTTGCACATACAGCAACAGCAAATTCAAAGTTAAAATAGTAACCGTAAAGCAGAAAACACTTAAATTGTAATATAATAGGAAGAATGATATTAATTTTTATAATCACAGACAGACGTCACTTAATAAAGAAGGCTGGATTATTTAATTAATGGAATTCTGAATGTTTTCTTATGGTTTATGTTATGAAAGTAATTTGCCTTTTTCTTAATAAAAATTAGTTTAAAAAATTATAAACAGATGTATTCTTCTCCTTGAACTTCCCTTACCTCATTTGGGAATCATTGAACTTATTAAAATCTTTTTTTTTAATTTATTTATTTTGAAAAAGATTAGCCCTGAGCTAATTGCTGCCAATCCTTCTCTTTTTGCTGAGGAAGACTGGCCCTGAGCTAACATCCATGCCCGTCTTCCTCTACTTTATATGTGGGACACCTGCCACAGCATGGCGTGCCAAGTGGTGCCATGTCTGCACCTGGGATCCAAATTGGCGAACCCTGGGCTGCCGAAGTGGAACTTGCTAAACAACCACTGGACCACTGGGCCAGCCCCAAAATCTTTTATTTCTGTAGAAAATCGATAGGATGTCAGGATGAGGAAACTGACAGACAAGAAAATGACTTACTGAAGAGCCTAATAGTCTAAAGTTTAACATTAGATTTCAAGTTGCCTGACTCTTTATGTCATACTCTTTCCAACTAAGCAGCATGTTGTGCCCAGCTTTTGTACAGCATTTGTTACCCCACTGTTCTTAATTTACTCAGTTTTTAATGCCAATCTAGTTTCTATGACATTGGCTGTGAGACAGTATTAAAATGACTGCATTTTCTTTCCATTTAACAGAAAAGTAGCAGTTCTGAATCATTAAGTGACAGAGGTTCTGAATTGAAGAAAAGCTTTGATGCTGTGGTATTTGATGTTCTTAAGGTTACACCGGAAGAATATGCGGTAAGCTTCCCACCTCTCCTTTCTCCAGTTTTTGGACAAAATTTATGTATTGGTGCTGTGTTGAGTTAGAATTTGTAGCCCCAGCAGAGGGGTGGCAAAAAAAAAAAAAAAGGAAGAAGCTGGTTGTGGGAATTGATGGAGAAAGTCGCACAACAATGAGGAATCAGAGGGTGAAACTGGGAAGGTCAGAAGAGTGGTGGGTAGTTTTAGAGCAGCTTCTTAAGCTGCACTTTTAGCTCGGTAAGTAGTAAATCGGTGTTTACCTTTATGGTAATTGCTTGCATCCCAACCTATACCACCTCCCCGAGCCAACTGTACTTTTTGACATATATAAGAAGTATTTTTACTTTTTTGTAAATTAAAAAATTGAAAAATGAAATTTGAAGGCATTATTGCAATATCATAAAAGATATCTAGAAAAACTTTTCTTAACTGACATAAATGTTCATTTATTTATGTTCTCTCTCTCCTTTAACTTATTAACAGGGCATATAGATTTCCTGATGTTGAACCACTCTTGCATTCCAGGAATAAACTGTGTTTGGTCATAGCATGTTATTCTTTGATATATTGTTGGATTTGTTTTACATCTGTGGCCATAAGTGAGATAGGTCCACAGCCATGTGAAGTCCTTAGATGTGAGTTGTCACTATTATAGTCTCATTACTTTTTATAGATTGGGAAGAAAACCTTTCTGTTAATATCAGATTTTATATTACCATTTAATAGTCACAACAGCACTTCTCCATGAACCAGTAGATCTGGTTTTTGTTTTTGTTGTTGAGGAAGATTAACCCTGAGCTAACATCTGCTGCCAATCCTCCTCTTTTTGCTGAGGAAGACTGGCCCTGAGCTAACATCCGTGCCCATCTTCCTCTACTTTATATGTGGGATACCTACCACAGCATGGCTTGCCAAGCGGTGCCATGTCTATACCTGGGATCCGAACTGGCAAACCCCGGACTGCCAAAGTGGAACATGCAACCTTAACTGCTGTGCCACCGGGCCGGCCCCTGATTTTTTTTAATTTTGATTTAATGTGTATATGATGTGTCTCCATTTTTTAAATTATGTTTTTACTTTCTAACTTTACCTCATTTATCTCGTAAGAAAATACTAATAGGCATGAGATAATTGGAAATAATTATATTTAATGGTACAAGGGCTAAATTTTCATTTTCTCTAAGCACATAAAATTGATACTTTTTTCTAGTAAAGATTTGAGTATTCAAGATATTTTAGAACAGAATTTTAATTTAAAATTTTAATTTAGCATATATGTCATATTGTAAATTCCAAAGAAGAAATTGTCACTTTTTACTTTTTGTTTCAGGGTCAGATAACGCTAATGGATGTTCCAGTATTTAAAGCCATTCAACCGGATGTGAGTAGTTTTAAGAACTTTCCTTTTAAATATACAAAATGATCGAGTATAGTATCCCAAATTAAGTTTTAGAAATGTCAAACTATGCTTCATATTAATTTTTAAATATTTAAAGCTTTTGATGTAACTTTTCTGTTATTCAGCCCTCAGAAACATATGTGGCAATCATAGCAAGACATCACTGAGTTGTCAGTAGGACTCTGAATCATTTTGGTTGGTTAGGCCTCATCACTTGACTGAAGGAAGGAATAGACTTAGAGAGATGGAGTGATTACCCAAGGCCTTTGAAGCTTTTTACTGGGAGGACAGGAATAAGAAATTGGGTTTCACAGCTCACTCCAGTAGTCTCTTCCCTTGCACCTTTATTTTATGACTTTGTAAGATGACTGTGTGTTGACATTTTGGAGAGAAGAGGGAGGATCAAGAAAGGCATTTTTTGTTTTTATTAAAAAGAAAGAGACTAACAATTGTTATGCATCTACACACTATATGCCATTTGTTATGCTGTGTGTGTGTGTATGTGTCAACCTAAGTATGGTAAATCTATTTTACTGATGAGAAAACGGAATCACAGTTGTCTTTGATACACAACTAAGTGTTGGAACGGGGTTTCAGATTCTAAAAGCAGATGCTTTTTCCACTCTTATCAAGTAAGAATATAATATGATTTTGTACCCCAAAACTAAGCCATTGATAATAGTGACATTTGGTACCATAAGATAGGTAATTTTTTACTTCTTTTGGGAACAAAATATAGTGTGTTTTAGTATATACAAGTCTATGGTGACCCTGAACACTATGATAGCTATGAGTCAGGGAAAACATCTGTGTCTTCCATGGTATTCACAGCGTTAGTCCTGTGATTTTCAAGTAAGTTACTTAACATCTTAGTGTCTCAAGTTTGTCACTTACAGAATGAAGTGGTGAGCCTAAATGATCTCCGAATCTCTGTAATTTCCACAATTCTGTGTTTTCCTGACTTTTCCCCCATACTGCCAAGGATTCTCTCAATAGAACCATTAGATTAGCAATAGAGGAAGAGGAACAATCTGTTTAATAAGGCACAAATAGAAAATGGCTTTTGTATTTAAATAACAAAAACTGAAATATTCATTTCCTTATATCCCTGAACAAAACAAACTAAATTCTTTACAGAAATTACATTTTTTGCCCTGAAATCTCCTTAGACATAATTTTTCCTTTTGAATAAACTGCAATGACTATCTTGCTGTTTCATGTGAGATTAGTGCTGTCTTATAGAAATGTAATGTGAGCAGCTTATAGAGCTTTACATTTTCTAGTAGGCACATTACAAAGTAAAAAGAAACAGGTGAAATTACTTTTAATAATTTTATTTAACCTACTTCATCCAAAATATTATCGCTTTAAGTTGTAATCAGTATAAAAATTATTCAGGTATTTTACGTTATTATTTACGTGCTAAGACTTTGAAATTCAGGTTATGTCATACAATTACAGCACATCTTTATTTAGAGTAGCCACGTTTCAAGTGCTCAATAGCCATTTGTGGTGAGGGGCTTGGATGTTGAAGATGTAGATAATGACTGCTTGAAGACGTAGACATCAAGTTGATGGGAATTTTTTTATTTCCCCGGGACATCTAATACTACTTTGTGAAATTTAGAAGTAAATCTTAAAATTCTCTTGACCCCACTCCCTGATCTAATTTAACACCAAATCTTGTTTTTTTTTTTGGTGAGGAAAATTGGCTCTGAGCTAACATCTATTACCACTCTTCCTCTTTTTGTTTGAGGAGGATTGGCCCTGAGCTAACGTCTATGCCAGTCTTCCTCTATTTTATGTGTAGGAGGCTGCCACAGCATGACTTGAAGAGCAGTGTAGCTCTGTGCCTGGGATCTGAACCCACAAACCCTGGGCCGCCAAAGTGGATCATGTGAATTTAACCATTACACCACCAGGCCAGCCCCTCATTGATTTTTCTTTTTCTTTTTTTTTTTTTTTTTAAAGATTTTATTTTTTCCTTTTTCTCCCCAAAGCCCCCCGGTACATAGTTGTGTATTCTTCGTTGTGGGTTCTTCTAGTTGTGGTATGTGGACGCTGCCTCAGCGTGGTCTGATGAGCAGTGCCATGTCTGCGCCCAGGATTCGAACCAACGAAACACTGGGCCGCCTGCAGCGGAGCGCGCGAACTTAACCACTCAGCCACGGGGCCAGCCCCTTGATTTTTCTTTTTTTTAACCTCCTAAGTATTGTGTCTATCCATTCTCCCTCTATTCCCAACACCCCAATCCAGGATACCATCTTATCTGAGCTGAATTACTACAGTCCCCCTTACCTGATCTACCTGCCTTCCCTGACCCTTCTAAACTCTTCTCTACCTAATAGCCCAGGCAATCTGTTCAACATGTAAATCTGCTCACATGATCCCTCTGCTTAAAATACTTGAGTGGCTTCCTGTTGCTCTGAAGATACAGACAAACTATCCTAAGTGGTCTACAGATCTCTTCATAGTTTTGCCTCTTCCTACCTACTCTAACCACATCTTACGTTCTTCCCACCTCTTTCTGAGCCAGCTATCCTGGCCTTGTAATCTCTCTCACTGAGCTTGTGTAACTAGTTAACTCCTCCTCATCTTTCCGTTCTTAGATCAAGTTGGACTTTCTCTGGTAAACTTTTCTTGCCTTCCTGCAGCTCTTCTAGCACTGTCTGCTTCTTCACTGGACTTGTCAGTTGCAGTTTTACGTTTATGTGTTGTGATTCAACAAGTATTTAACTGGTGTCTGTTATGTGCCAGGCACTGTTTTTTTGCTGGAGATACAACAGTAAACCAACAGACTAAGTTCCTACCCTTGTGGATCTTACATTTGAGTGAGGTGAGCTAGACAAACGTGTCATGAAAAACATAAAGCAGCTAGAAGAGGATACAGAGTGTGGGCAGTGGGAGTTCTGAGTTTAGATAGGATGGTTAGAAGGGCTTCCCTGAGAAGGTAACATCCCAGCAAAGACTGATGGAGGTCAGAGAGGTAGCCATATGGGTATTTGGAGAAAGAGTGTTCCAGGCAGAGAACCACCAGGGCAAAGGCCAGTGAGCTACAATGAGTGAGCAAGGAAGTATGGTAGAAGGTAAGAGTGTAGAGTGAGGTCTGGGTGGTACAGGGCCTTGTAGACCATTACTCTGAATAAGATAGGAAGCTGTTGGAGGGTTTTGAGCAGAGGACCGACAGTTTCTGACTTAGGTTTTAAGTAGCTTTTCTGACTACTGACTAGGGTAAGGGGGGAAATGAGTGTGGGGGCAAGGGTGGAGTGGTACCAAGGACTGAATCAGGGAGACCAAGTGAGAGACAAGGTGGCTTAGATCAGAGTGGGAGTGGAAGAGAGGTGGTGAGAAGGTGTCAAACATTATGTGCAAGAGGAGTCAAAGACACTGCCAAGGTTGGCCTGACACCAAAAGTGTGTGGTTGGTAGTCTAGATGGAAAATTATTATTATATTGTTTTCACCATTCCTGGGGCTGCCTTTGTATAGAATATTGTGTGCAATGTAGCCTTGTGGAAAAAGGCCAGAGGAGCAGATTTTGAGGAAGGAGGGAGAGTTTGACTTTGGACATGTTTAGTTTTACATTCCTGTCAGACAGCCAAGGAGAAGATTGAGTTAGGTAATATATACTAGCATATATTTTCAGTCCAGGTTGGAAATAAAAGTTTAGGAGATGTCAGTGTAGAGATATTAAAAGTGTGGGTGAGATCACCAAGAGAGTGAAAATAGAGAGAAGAAGGGTCCTATTTAGTGTTTAGGGGGAACTAGCAAAAGGTGCTAATAAACAGCGGCCAGTGATTTAGGAGGAAAATGAGGTGATTAGTCTGGAATTTGATGAGCTAAGTGAAGAAGGTGTTCTTAAGAAGGAAGGAGTGATCAAGACTTGTCAGTCTTGTGCTTATCTGATTTTTGCTTGCTGCTTCCACTGGATTTTAAGCTATGAGAGGGCAGAAACTGACAATTTTGCCTTACTTTTCTATCTGTCTGGCATGTAGTGGGAGCTCAATATTTAGAATGATAAAATGAACATAGTGTTTAGTAAATATTTGTTCAATGAGAGACTGTTCTCAAAAATGGAAGCAGTAGCTCTAATGGAAGAAACGATGTAGCCCCAAATATCAGTCTCATATAGTTATCAAGATTACGTTAAATCTGGCAGCGTAAACAGGACTGTGTCATCGGACAGAAAAATGTTTCTTAATTTATTGTGAAATGTCTAAGACATACAACAAGCCATAAAGAATACGGTGAGCCCCATGTTCCTGCCTCCCCAGACTGTCGAGGCTGCTCTGCGTTCTCCCACGTTCACCTCTCTTCTCTCCACTCGCCACAGTAGCCGCTGTCTAGTGTTGATCTAGGTCATTCCTGTGCGCTGTGTTATATTTTTTCTATAAGTATCCGGTAGCAGTATATGCCATTTCAGGTTTTTAATTCTTTCTGTAAATCAAATCCTGTTGTTTTTGTCGTCTTTAGCTTGCTTTTTAAAAGCTCAGCATGGTTGGCTAGCATCTAGCGCGTTACTTACTGAGTTGTGGAGCATGAAGACCTTTAAACCTGTTAAACACTGCCAGATTGTTTTCCAAAATGTACAGATATTGTTTGCTTATTATAGCAAAACCCTTGCTATTGATAAATTTAACAAAAGATTGTTTAAGCCATGATGTCAGCCAATCTAATGTATTAGTCTTATTTATAAACATAAAATGGTGTCTACCTCATTATGTAGTCAGAGTATAACTTCATTAAAGAATGAAGGAATTCTTTTTGTTAAATCAAAATTTAACTTCAGATATCATGAAAAGATAGTGATTATCACTGAATCTAGTGAATTTATCTTCATGTTTCTTTCTGTTCCGTTATACCAGTGTTCGTCTCTATATATAACTTCATATAAAACTTCCAAAAAGCTATATATATACTTTGCGAAACTGTTTAAAAGATCTTTAGTTGTTACACCAAAACCATTGAAATCAAAGCTCACTAT